ATGAAAATCCAGGAAAAGTAAATAAAGGAGCTGGTTTGTATTCTTAGGACAAAGTTCAGGGGGAAAAAAAGAAGGCAGGTGTGGTTTGGGGGCAGATGGATCTCTTTGAGTTCCAGGCCAGCTGGGGTGACAGGGAGACCGTGTTTCAAAAAGACAAAACGGGACACTGCCTGACATTACCCTCTGGTCTCCAAATGTACAAGCACAAAACTTACAGGCACGTAACTGGCATAGACATATTTTTAAAATATGAAAATGCGGTTGGAGATGGCTCAGCGCTGACTGCTTTTGCAAGAGGACCTGGGTTTGACTCTCGACACCCACATGGCAGCTAACAACCACCCTAACTCCAGTTCCAGGGGGATCCAATGCCCTCCTCTTCTGACCTTCAAGGTATTGCAGACACGGGTGCACTTACATACACACACAAAATAAAAATAACCAGTGGAAAAGGGACTTTCCCTGCACCTCTGCCTTCTACTCATGTAAGATTGAAAATAGTGCAGTGATAAAAGATGGGAAGGAATGACACGAGTTGAACTCTGAATCCCAAGCTGGGCACTTTGGGTTTTTTTTTTTTTTTTTGTCTTTTTGGATGGGGTCTCCCTGTAGCCCCAACTAGCTTGAACTCACTATGTAGGGCAGGCTGGCCTTGAACTCAAGAGATCCACCTGCCTCTGGCTGGGATTAAAGGTGTGGGCCCACTCCCAGCACTTGGGGGGGGGGGTGGCGCTTTCGTTTTTGTTTTGTTTTAACACATTGAGATGATATTCAAATGATCTGAAGAGATGAAGAGTACAGGCAAGACCTCTGGTTCAAAAACCAACCCGGGCTACATATTAAATTCCAGGCCACTCATGGTATACCAGAGAAACCAGTCTCAAAAACAGCAAAGAAACTCAAATAGTGGGTAGGCCTTTAAACCCAGAAACCCCAAAAGCAGAGGCGATTTCTTCAATTTCCAAGACAGCAAGGGCTATATAATGAAACTGTTTCAAGAAGTTTGGAAAGGGAGATGTATCTGATTTGTTAAAGGATCACAGTGGGGCAGCCAGCGAGATGACTCAGTAAATCAGAACACAATTTCTTGCCACCATCTCAGAGATCTGAAGTTTTGTCTTCTGACCTCCACAGTGGCATACGCCCCCCCCATAATAATTGTTTTAAAAAAAGAGAATGTGGAGGGAGATACTGTACCATACTTTATAATAAAAATGAAAAGACCTGGTGTCTATTTAAAAGCTTTTAAAGGAAAAGAAAAACTTTTAAAGGTCTTGAATGTTATTACGTAGTAAACATGTTTACTTTCCATACAGATAAAGTGAGATGACAACCAAGTAAGATTGTCTTTTTCAATCATGTGCACACAATTTAAGTGTCTTACCTGCTTTGAGAGCTAGATGTGGAGGAAGTGGACCTCCCATGGTTGTTGGTAAACCTTCTCCAGTACTTGTCGTGGTATCAGATGATTCAGTAAGTGTGGGTGGAGGTGGTTGGATCTGCAAGAAGTCAAAATGTCAGTGCTCTTTTTTTCAGGGACTAGAAATTTGGGGGGGGCTCCCAAGAGGCCTAGGGGCAGGAGCTGTGCTTGCTTTTATTCCCAGCACCTGGGAGGCAGAAGCAGGCGGATCTCTATAAACTCCAGGGGCTACAGGGAGATTCAAAAAAGACAAAAAAAAAAAAAAAAAAAAAAAAAAAAAAAAAAAAAATACAGGAAAAAAAAACTTACAGCACTTACAGCACTCATAATGTAGGTACAAGCTTTCAAAACTTACTCTAGAAAATAAGGTGCCATGGTTCATTACAGAACACAGTATAAGCCTGGTTAGTTCCAGCACTCTAGAGGCAGAACTTTATGAGTTCAAGCCCAATCTGAGTTCCAGGCCAGTTCAAGCTACAGGGAGACCCTGTCTAAGACTCCAACAACAACAAAAAAGAACACAATATGGCTGGAGAGACAGCTCAGTGGTTAAGAAAACTGGTTGCTCTAGCAGATAGCCTGGGTTTGATTCCCAGCACCCACAAGATGGCAACTATCATCCCAAACTCCAGTTTCAGGGGATCCGATGCTCTTTCTGGCTTCTGTGAGCTTTGCCTGACAAGGGTGCACTTACATATACATAGGCAAAACTCATACACATGAAATGAAAATTGAAAAAAAAAACACCCCAAAACCCCAATAACAGCTTATCTAATTTAAGTGGCACAAGTCTACAATCCAAGCACTGGGGAGTTATAGCAAGTCAGATTTGAGATCATACATGAGTACCAGGTTAGTTGGGGCTACAGGAAATCCCGTTTCAAAAACCAAAACCAGTAAATACATAGTTAATAAAAAATATTTTTAATGTTTCCATACAAATTGGGCCACATGAAACTTTATTATCTTTTTAAAAAGGTGGGGGAGAGGGGTGGTATGGAAGTAGGCATAACCACAATCAATTAGACTTTAGGAATTCTCATCTGAAAATGTGGCTTTCGGTGTTCAACATTAGGGCATTTAGGGAACAGAAAATACAAGAGACCCCCCCCCCCCCCCGTAACGAACTCTTCCAAAAGATCTACCTCTACTATCCTGCTATCCTGAATTCCTACTTGTTCACCCAATTTCACTCACCTCCTGAGATTAGCAGTATGGGGGGGGGGCACGACACCAGGCTGGGACAAACTATTATTCTTAGCACTCACTCAGGAGAAACAATTACACCCAATTTACCAATTCATCAGTTTAGCAACACAGTACTGCTGTTTATACCCTTTTGATCATAGGACTGACTGGAAACTGTTTACCACAGTGCTTATTGTTAGCCGAGAAAAAGTCCAAATTCAAACTCCAAAGTATGATTTCTACTGAGTATATATTACTTTTGCACTATTACAGCTAGAACCAATCTCACATGTTTTTACAACTTACTGTGTTTTGGTATATTCATTATTTATTCATGGGATACCCCTGTGTACATAGCAAATTTCTGTAAAGCTTTTTTATGTTAGGTTAATTTGAAGGGTAGAAAGGTAAATGCAAACCTTTTTTGCTCCCATTTACAACAAACACATCAAGGACTTGGCCTTAAGTACTTACCCCAACAACTGGGACTTCTTCACTTTTTACTTCATTTATTCGAACCAAATAGTTAACAAAGTCCCTGGCAGCATTGCTCTGTGCATCTTTTTTATTCGTGGAATTTCCCATACCAGCATAATTAAACCCTTCTACGCGAACCTTTAAATGAAGGAAAAAAAAATATTAAAGCTAGGCAATTCTAAGATTTTAAAAAAGTGTAACAATAACCCATTAAGATAGAATACAGCTATGTTTTGGATATACTCTATAAGAGCACTAACAACATAGCCTGAATATACACTGTAATACTTGATGAAAAACCTGGGATCATACTGTCTATTGATAAACCAATCCAATAATAAAGTGGCTCAGGTATTTTCTTCGCATATAATAAATGTTCAATAAAATCTCAGAATTAGGAATCTTAGCTCAGTGGAACACTCTGCTTGGCTATTATGTACCAGGCATAAAGTTCAACTCCCACTACCACCCAAAAAAGGGGAATAAAGGCCAGCAAGATGACTCAGCAGGTAAAGGCACCTGCCACCAAGAAGAGCCTGATCCAGGGGACCCACACAGAAAATCAATTCCCCTAACTTAATCCTATAACTTCCACACATGTGCACAATCATGTAATTTAATATTTAATAAATGACTGTGTCATAACCAAGAAAACAAGCTCTTCCCATTTTGAAAAAAATACTCTGCTTCTAATGAGTTAGTAAAACTGCCAGCTATCTGTCTTCTGAACTTCCCTAGTAGTACTGACCAACTCTTAAGCTCATTAGAATAATTTACATTATCAGATTATTTTTAAAATAATTCTCCCTTGGGGCTGGAGAGATGGTTCAGTGGTTAAGAGCACTGGCTGCTCTTGCAGAGGATGTGGGTTTAGTTCTCAGCACCTACATGGCTGCTCACAAGGTAACTACAGTTCCAGCAGATCAGACACCCTCTTCTGGCCTCTGCAGGCCAGTCACACAGGAGTAGGCAAAACATACACATTAACTAAAAATTAAAGAATTCTCCCTTGAAAATGACTGATAAAACAGCAGTCAAGTAAAAATAAACTATTCTTTCCCAATGTGCAACAACTTTAGCCTTTCCAAATAAAACATTCCTTTAAGCCCCCAAATGAGCTTCATAAAGCATATAAATGAACTGTATTGTTTAGTACCTCACACATGAATTTCTGTCTGTTTTTGTTTCCTACTGCTCTAATTTCATAGGCAGGGGTCATCTTCCTTTTGCCACACCAGGCATATAGAAAATTTTTAATGTCACCCATGATTCAGGTGTCTTCTTCACACCTACAAAAACAAAAGATAAAAACATTAGAAAGCACAACCTGAAAAACAGTATACAAAAAATCACTACAGGGGCTAAAGAGAGGGCTCGGTGGCTAAGAGCACCCACTTTGGGCAGGCTCACACCACCAGTCCCAGAGAACAGACACCCTCCTCGGGTGGCAGACATACACATAACAAAGTATATCCTAAAAATCATGGTGGCCCATGCCTTTAATCCCAATACTGGGGTGCAAGGCATTGGACAGGCTGGTCTACTAGTGAGTTCCAAGCTGATTGGAGCTACGGGGAGACCCTGAATCAAAAAACAAAAACGGGTTGGCAAAAAATGGCTCAGCAGGGAAGAATGGTTCCTTCAAGCCAATCTCCTCCACACGTGAACTGTGACATACACATGTACACTCAAATAAAAGGGAACTTTTGCACAACATGCGTGCACTTACATATATGCAAGCAACACACTCACACAAATAGTAATTTTTTTTGGAGGGGGGGGTCTTTTTGAGACAGGGTCTCCCTGTAGCCCCAGCTGGCCTGGAACTCACCGTGTAGATCAGGCAGGCCTTGAATTCAGAGATCCGCCTGCCTCTGCCTCCCAAGTGCTGCAACTACAGGCATGCACCACCACACCCAGCAAAATAGTATTAATTGTTTTTTTGGTCTTTTTGAGATAGGGTCTCCCTGTAGCCTCAGCTGACCTGGAAATCTCAAGAGATCCGCCTGCCTCTGCCTCCCATGTGCTGGGATTAAAGGTGTGCACCACCATACCTGGCCTTTTTTGAGACAGGGTGTCCCTGTAGTCAGTCAGTCCCAGCTAGGCTGGAACTCGTTATGTAGACCAGGTTGGCCTTGAACTCACACAGAACCACTTGCCTCTGCCTAGTGCAAGGATTAAAGGCGTGGGCCACCATGCCTGGCTAATTATTTTAAAGAAGGGAAAAATATAAAAGTATGATACCAACAACCAAATTTAGTACCAAGGAAGGTCTATTATTTTAGTAGGCTGCAAGAAGAAAACCCATTATGTACAACCTATTCACAAAGTAGGGACTAGCCCTTGAAGGGTTTTTGGTCCTAACCATCTCCTGTGAACTGGCCAAGACTTAGAGCAGCTTTGTTCCACCGTTCACTATCCACTACAATGTGCTGCTGCCTTACCGACGCGCACAATTTACCATATTCCAAAGCCTTTAATACTTTTTCAGATTGGGCCTCACCATGTTTATCTCTGGAACTCCTATTTGCCTCTGCTTCCCCAGACTGCTGGGCTCAAAGGCACAACCTCATCAGGTTTTGAAACCTGTAAAACTTTAAGCCCAAACAAGACCCTCTTTTTTGTTTTAGCACAAGGTCTCATAGAGTCATCACTATGTAGCCAAAGGTGTCCTTGAACTCTTAATCCTTCCTACATCTCCCAAATGCTGCGATTAGTTTCTAGCATAACTGGCTTAAACCTCTCTGTAAATTGATTACCTAGGTATTTGGGGGAAATAATGGTTAAGATTAACAATGCCCATTCACATTTTCCATCCCACATTGTATGTTCAAGAGACATGATGGTACACACCTGTAATCCCAGCACTTGGGATATACTTTAACTCCAAATTTCAGGAAAGGAAAACCAATATTCCCATCTACACACTAACATCTCCGTGGGAACTTTTAATTTCCTCAAATCTGTTCCAACCCCCATCTAAATACTCCCATTCCCATCAATGGCACCAAGTTGCCATTTGGAAGTCTGTAATCCTTCACAGCTATCCCTTGTAGACCCCTAGGGTCTTAGTAACTCAATCCAGTTTACTTACATTGATGAGATATTACCTTTGACTTCCTTTTTCTTGGTTTTTTTTTTTTTTTTTTTTTTTGAAAAAGGGTCTCCCTGTAGCTCCAGTTGGCCTGGGATCTCACAGACCATAGATGCATATATCATAGCCCGGCAGGTTATCTTTCAAATCAAATTTGGACTTTTCCCGTTTGGACATGTCTTCTGAGGACTAAATTCTTTGTTTTCTAATTTGTGAAAAGGAAATCCGGATATTCGGCCCCAGGAGCTCCTCCCACTCTCCGGAGTTTTCTCGGTTTTCTTAGTTCTACCCTTGCTCTGCTCGAAAAAAGTAATTAATGCCGGGTGTTGTGGTGCACACCTTTAATTCCAGCACTCAGTTGGGCCGAGGGAGGTTCATTTCTGTGAGATTCCGGCCAGCCTGGTCTACATAGCAAGTTCCAGGCCAGGTCCGGTTACAAGGAGACCCTGTCTCAAAAAACACTAAACATTAAAAAAAAATTTTAAACCTAGAAATTTAAGAAAGGCCTGACCACAGGTCTTCCACCCTGCGCCACTACACTATTTTGGCTCTAAATTGTCTCTGATGGTAATTAATTTCTCTCTCCATCTGCCCTCACAATCCTGGAGTTGCAATAAAATTCGAACCCGGTCTTCCGGTTTCCATTGCTTCCCTCTTCCCTGCCACCATCCGTCACGTGGCAGGCTCTCTTTCACCTCCAGGCGGCATCTTGGCCGCCGCCCTCTGCGTCTCCCGCGGGAGGTGGGCTCCGGTACCCGTCCCCAAGCCGCCCTGTGCAGTCACCGTTATGTAGGGTGGGGTGATCCCGTTGCACCGTGTAATTCCACCATCGCTCACTAAATCATGCAGACATTTTCCTACTACCTGCTCCACACCCGGCAACTCGAACCGCTCAGAATTCGCAAGCTGCCGAAGCCTTGGGGCCCGAGGTGTCCCGGATGAATGAGCCCCAAGACTCCTAGGCCTGCGGCGCCGGGCGGCAACCCCCACAGGCCGCTCCGGGCACCTCCCACCGGCCGCGTGCCAGGCCGAGGAAGCGGCCTTCGCGACCGGTCGGCACGGCTGAGGACAGTCGAAGGGAAGGTCCCGAGCTATCGGAGGGCGAGTGCGCCGCGGCCTAGAAGTCCGTGGCCTCGGGGAAGTCCGCAATCCGGGCACCCGCGGCGCCGCCGCCCCTCCCCCACCACCGCACAACAAAGCCGCCGCAGCGCGGAGCAGGCCGCGGTCCTCCCGCAGTCCCGCCGTCCGCACATAGCCGCAACGTCGCTCCTCACCCGCCTCCTCCGCGTCTTCGTGCCCGAGAGCACAAGTTCTTCAGAAGAGTTCGCAGCTCCGATCTCCCACAAAGACAGCGCAGGAGCACACCACAACCCGCATGGAGGCAGCGGCGAAATGGCTCCGATCGCGGCACCGAGGAGGTGGAGTTAGCGCGCGACGCATGCGCAGAAGGCCAGCTGGGGAGCGAGCACGCCCAGAAGGGGCGGGGCTGCAGCCACTTCCGGGCGCCAAACCCGTAGTAGCGCGGGAGATCCGCTGCGCCTAGGTCGCCATTTCCCGGCAGGCGCTGCCCGCCTTTGAGCATTAGTAGCTTTTTCTTTGTTTCTTTGTTTGAGACAGGATTTCCCCTAGCCCTAGCTGGCCTAGAACTCGCAGAGATCCGCCTGCTTCGGCCTCTCGTGTGCTTCGGTTAAAGGCGTATGGAACCATGCCCAGCTTTTTTTTTTTTTCTTTTTTGAGACTTTCTCGCTATGTAGCCCAGGCTAACCTGTAACGCACGATGTAGCCTATACTGGCCTGGAACTTGTGGAGGTCCTCCCACCTCAGCCTCCCGAGTACAAGATTTGCAGGCTTGCCACCACGATCACCTGATTTCTTTTTAATGGTTTTTCAAATGGACATCGTTTCAGACTTAATCTTACCTGTAGGCTTTCTCTAAAGCTTCCTTCACTCAACCATGTGGCTGCGAGTCAGCCACGTGTCTGACCTCCATGCAGGCTCTAAACCTGCATTGCTTCATGATTTTCTTTACTTCCCACTGTTCACCTCCTCAGGGCAGCTGCCAAGATTACCAGCTCACCTGCCCTGTGGATTTTTCTTTAAGAGTCTAATAAAGTTGTAAAAGTTTCAAAAAAAATAAAAATAAAATATACTTAAGATGTATTTCCGGGTGCCTGAGGTGACATAGCATAGAAAATTACGAAATACTTTGCTGTATCAAAATTCTGCAGGTGAACCAGGCTGAGTCCAGGCTAGCTTGGTCTATGTAGGAAGACCCTGTATTAAACGCAAAAAAATAAAAAATAAATCCAAGTTACTGAAGCATGCAGCTGACGTAAACCTTCAGGCTTTTCTGTGTGTTACCATCCTTCTGCCTAAAATGTTTACACAGAGATTGAGGCCTGAGACACCTGCCTCACCTATACATTACCACGGGTGATGGCTACTTGGGAGATTCATCTGCATAAGAAAACCCTGGCTCTTGGTACATTTGCTCTCCACTTTCAGTAGACTTCTCCCCTCCTCCCCCACCAAAATACCTTTGTTTAACTTAAGTGGGAAGCCTCTTTTGTGTCTAATGTTTGCGGTTATGTTTTGGAGGATTTTATATTGTTTTTGCAATGCTGAGGGTCATCAACCCAAGGTTTTATGCATGCTAAACAAGCACCTTACCACTAAGCTACAGCCCAAACCCACTACCACCACTGTGTTTATCTGCCTATTGTTAGTTTATTTGCTAGGTTGATATTATCTAAGGGCTGAAGGTGAGGCTCAGGGGTTGTTGTATTACTTAGTTTATTTAGCCTCAGGTCCTGGATTCCATCTGCATCCTTGCAAACAAAATTATTGACAGGTCAAGAGAATATGTTTAAACGTTCCCAGGCTCACAAGTTCTAGCTGTCTAGAGTACAAATCATTCTCAAAACTTCTTGCAAATATGACATCTTGAAGAACAAATTATATCTTCAAAAGTGTCAATAAAGGTAAGTTTTTATTTGAAGCATATAGCTTCTCTATTTAGGTGCTAGACAAAGAATTTGCTTGTATTTGGCGATCATGCATTAATTGCTTAAATTCTAGAAAAATCTCAGTTTTGCAAGATGCTTGTGCTTTGAGGTACATACTACCAAAACTAAAAGAGCATCAAGTCTCCATTTAATGCTTACTCTCCACTGTGAGCTTCTTGGGCAGAATGAGCGATAAAACGTTCCCTTGCTGCCCCCTTACTTTTTCTTTTAACTATATTTTTGTAAATTAAAAATAAGTTATAGGAAAGTTCTTCATGTTAGACATACATTGTACACATATTTGTCAAATGAATAAATAAATTTATGATAAAAAAGAAAAAAGTTCCCAGGCTCAGAGTGTGTGTAGCTCTGCATGCTTGCCTAGCAGAGCATGCAGAGGCAATGGATTCCAACAAAGACGGTGGAAATTTTACTTTTGCTTTTTTCCCCTAATTCTTTCTCTGCTTTATGCCCCACCTCTTTCTAGTGGTTTTCTAATTTCTAAAGAAAGACCCATGTGATGGCTTCTTCCTCTCAGCTCCAATTGACTAACAAATAGTATGTCTGAAAATAAAATGTAGCTGTTGACCCCACAGATCCCACTTCCAAAGGAATGAAGAGAGAGATTCAGCTGTGTCACTGTGACCTTCTAGTGCCCCATAAAAGCCCCGCTTACCCTTGCACTTCCCCAAGAAAAATTTGAGACAGAAAAGTCTGTCCTCCTTGGGGACAGCCTTGAACAAGTCTATTTCCTTCACCTAATTTCTTTCTCCCAGGTTTTTGGTAGAGTACAAAGCAGTATGAACCTTAGATTCCAGTAAGAACACTGCCAAAATAATAACAATAATAATAAAGATGATGTGGCTTAGTTGACAGAATTCTGGCCATAAAAACCAGTGTATGGTGGCACAGGCCTGTAATCGGGAAGTAGAGGCAAGATTATTGATAAATAAGTTTGAGGCCAACCTAGGACGCATGAAATCCTGCCTCAAAGGGAAAAAAAAAAAAAAAACAGAAAAGTAGGGTGCATAGGAGATACTGCCACCAAACCTACTGACTTGGAACCCACATGGTAGAAGGAAAAAATTTAGTTCCAAAAGTTCTCTAACCTCTACATGCAGGCTTATGTACACACACAATAAATAATGCAATACATAAATGTAAACCATGAAATAATAAAGCAGGATACAAATGTTTTTAAAGCCGGGTGTGGTGTATACTGCCTTTAATCCCAGCACTTGGGAGGCAGAGGCAGGCAGATCTCTAAAGTCAAGGCCAGCCTGGTTTCAAGTCAGCTGGTGCTACAGGGAGAGCCTCAAAAAGACCATTTAAAAAAAAAAAAAAAAAAGCTTTTCAAAGAGAACTAGATGACATAGACTGGAGGTGTAGCTCACTGCTAAGGTATATTCAGTCCCCAGCACCCAACCCCCACCTTTAAAAAGCCAGACCTAGACCTAGTGATTCAAGCATGTAATCCCATCTATTTGGAAGTCTGAGGCAGGAAGATTACAAGCTCAAGATCCACCTGAGCTACAGAAGGAATGAGTTCAAAGGCAGGCATGGTGGCACACACCTTTAATCCCAGCACTTGGGAAGCAGAGGCAGGCAGATCTCTGTGAGACCGAGGCCAACCTTGGTCTTTATGGTCTACATATAGAGTTCCAGGCCAGCTGGCTATAAAGAGATCCTGTAAAACAAACAAACAAACAAAAAAACCGGCAATAAAAAAGATGAATGAGAGGAATAGGAATGTAATCTGGTTGGTAGAGTGCTGGCCTAGCATAAGCATGGGCAACTTCATTTTTTGTTTGTTTGCTTGAGACAGGTTCTTCCTGTAGCCCTCACATGGTCTGAAACTTGCTATCTAGACCAGGCTGGCCTCCTGCCTCCCTAGGCCTGTGCCACCATGCCTGGCCGTGAGCAACTTCTTTTGAAACTACATCTTAAAAGTAAAAAGAGCCAGGCGTGGTGGGACACACCTTTAATCTCAGCACTCAGGAGGCGGAAGCAGGTGGATCTCTGTGAGTTCCAGGCCACCTGGAGCAGTTCCAGGGTATCCAACATCCTCTGGCCTCTGTAGACATTGCATTCATGATACACATAATCCATGCAGGTAAAACACTCGTGGACATAAAATAATAAATACAAGCCGGGTGTGGTGGTGCACACCTTTAATCCCAGCACTTGGGAGGCAGAGGCAGGTGAATAATAATAAATACATTATAAAAAAAAGTAAAAAGAAGGCTAAGAATATAGCTCAGTGGGAGAGCACTTGCCTAGCATATATGAGACCCTGGGTTCAATCCCCAGTACTCAGGAAAAAAAAAAGCCTGTGCTGGTGTTTGTTAGGTTACAGATCCTCAGATCCTCCAGCTGCTGTGCTTGTAGTTCTCACACCCAGAAATCAGGCCACACCCCTACTGTCTGTTTCTTTATTTCTCTCTCCCCACATTTGTGCTATGACTCTGAAGCTCTCGAAGAGTTCTTTTCCTCCTCGTGCTGCTGCTGCAAGCCCAACTCTCCCACTGATAGCAGAGCCTGAGACATCCTTGAATTGTAACTTTACTCTCTTGTCCAGGGCCTTCCTCCATTCCAGAGGCCATGTAGGCTGGTCACTTGAAACCTTCTTTCCCCAACCCTACCCTCTGGAAACATATAAGAACAAGGGACCTCCCTTTGTCCTAAGGATTTAAAGACTCCCTTCAAGGCTCCATCATGGCCGCCCATGTCCTGGTTGCTCTCTTTCCTAAAGTTCTCCCACTTCAGGGCTACATCATAGCTGGCTATGGTCATGAGCCTGTAACCCTCCTAATAAAGTTCTTCTGAAAGGTAATTTCATATCAGCTCCTTTCTACAAATCTGAGGTAATTTCTCACGGGCTGTAGTAGCTCAGTTGCTGGTCTAGTAACTCTGGGTTTAACCTCAAGCACCACATACGGTGGGTATGGGTGTACACGCCTTTAGTTCCAGAGGCAAAGGCAGGTGGATCTCTGTGAGTTCTAGGCCAACCTGGTCTATTAACAAGTTCCAGGCCAGCCAGGGCTACATAGTAAGACCCTATCTAAAAATAAAAATAAACCAGAAATTCAAGGTTTCCCTAAACTACATAGGGCATTCAAGGCCAGTCTGGGCTACAATGAGCCCATGTCTCAAAAAACAACAAAAAAGAGCCCTGTACAGTAGCAAACCAACATAATCCCAATCCTTGGGAGGTTGACAGATCAGGAATTCAAGGCCAGCCGGTACTACATAAGATCCTGTTTCAAAAAGAAAGAAAAAGGCTCTCTGTTCCTCCCCATTCCAGAGACAGTGGCATCTTCTAATGCAATGCCAGCCTCGTCCCTGAGACATGGTGGTGAAGGTTGGAGTGAATGGATTTGGCTGTATTGGGTGCCTGGTTACCAGAGCTGC